GAGGTAGGGTTTTGGGGAAGATGGGTTCGGCCAAGATGAAAAGGAGAAGGGGGAGAATGGTTAAGGTTTGGTGTTGTTTCTGGATTGTAGGGATTGAGGAGGATCATGGGTTTAAGGGCCTTCAAAATGGATCATATAGCTTAAACATAGGTCCTCGGCTTCCCCCGGGAGTGTAGGGTATAGGGCGAACCATGATGAGGCTGAGCCCAGATATATCAAGTTTTTTATATTCTCACGATATTTCAATTTGAGAATAATGTAAGAAACGAAGAATATGACAAGGGAAGACATTCCAATTTGAGATAATGTGACAGGGTAGCTGTATCCTCAGCAGGCTTAAATTTACCGGCAGTTGCATGGAATCCAGTGGAACATTTACTGGTCGAGCATAAGCATCAAAACTTGAATTAGATTGATCCCTTGAACCACCTTGTTCACTCTGCTGTCTAGCAGAATTTCTTAAATTACCAAGACCCTGGTCAACAATTCAAGGGGAAAAAACATGAGGTTAGAATCAGCAATTAATAACTTAATCCTTGGTGCTAACTTGCTTAATGCAAAGCAATCTACACTGCCCTACACCCACAACCTTGAAGGTATGAGACTACCCCCACCCCACTCCCAGAAAAAATAGGACCTGCTTTGTTTGCCTGAAAAAAATGTGACACAATTTTTTAAAGATTTGATCTTGTGTGGTCTGAACTCTGAAGTGGTTTTGTTTGATTTTCTTGTCTTAAATATATAATTTGGTCTTGATACAAGTGTTTCTGATCTTGCTTGATGTTATCTACATAAACAATTTTGTTCTGGTATCAACAAAAAAAGAACAAGTAGTAAACCATAAGAGTGAGGTGAGAGGGAGTAAAGAATTTCCCACCAAGAAAATTAAAAGAATGGAATCAAACAAAAACTACAAAAAACGAATGACAACTGCAATTGGAGAACTACAAGTGAAGAAAGTCATCTTAATGGAAACTTACATTGAGATCAATCCCCTCACTTCCACTCCCAATATTCGCAATTCCAATGGAACCAAGTAGAGCTGAGAAAATCTACAATATCAAATGAATGAACTGATTTGAGCTTGTCGATATGTGGATGTACAGCTTATATAATACGTAAGTGGGGGAAAAGTTGTACCCGGCTCATATCAGACGTCACCCCATCGGAGGGTTCAGATAAATTTAAAGTTCCCACAAATAGACCAGGGCCAAACGGACTGCTATAAGTATTGCCTGGACTTGATGCATCAGAGGCTCCTGCAATCTCATTGTCCTTGATTGAGAACAAAATGCTACTAAATAATTGAAAATGTTTAATAAAGCCTGGTCCTTTAATGCTCCTTTTGTTTCTTAATCATTTGTGTATTGATAGTGTGCTGGGCTAAGCGGGTAGGGTGGTGGTTGCACATACTGACATGCTCATAAGCATATATCCTATTAACCAGAACTCTTAAATGGCTGTAGCTTTTAGTAAACATATAACTGTCATTTCACTTCATAAGCTCATAATTCCTTATGAGCTTTTTCTAAACCCAAAAGATCAGTCATTGCAGAAAAGTTAACTATCTAGATAAGGCACATAGCTAGCAGAAGAAGAAACAAAGGTATGACAAAGTTATAGTTTCTTTTGAACTCTTAGATGTAGTTAGAGTAATGAACCTTGAGTGTCAGGGTTGCTTTCTGGTGGATGTTGCCTCACAACCAGATGCAGAGTGTGCCCGTCTTCCACGTCTAATAGGGTACTCATTAAGGTTTTCACCGAAAAGAGTATTCCAATACCACTTCACAACCATTAAAAAAAGATGTAGAAAGAGTAGATATAATAATTACTCATGAAACGAAAGAACAACTTCATGAACAAAACAGGGAGGAAAAGAGAAAACCACTTGGAAAGGGAAGAAGCTGAAGTCATGCGAATAGATCAGATTGTCACATGTAGTGACTAGATCTGCACTACAGCATGTCAGCAACCATGAGGGAGAACTTCCGGAAGTAGTCATCAAGGTACTAAGTAAGGTACATGGGACCTCACATGTGTCTCTTAAATCCTTTCATCTATTAATATCAACTAATTTGATATATGTACCAAGTGATAGACATCAATGAAATCAAGGTTGCAATAAGCACTAAAGTTAATTTTATTAATCCAAAAAATGTTGGTTTGAAAACCTAGGTTTGAATTTTAGTGGTTTACTACTGCCTCAGATGATAATGAAAAACATAAGGATACGATAAGCTGAAAGAAGTTGATCATCTTTCAAAACTTTTCCACGACATATAAGTCGTTGCTGTTCTGACAAGACACCAGTGACTGTTGCAATTTGATCCTTTAGTGCAGGAACAGGAACCTGCAGTGAAATAGACAAATTGAGAAGGAAGCGCTCAAACTTACATGTACGGAGTAATAACTTAGAGGCCAAGCAGAAAATATCAGAAAGTAGATTACTATCATGTCCAAAGGGTAACAATGAGATCCATGGCAGGGACATGCATTTTCATTTCCAATTAACATCTAAGTGCAACTGTAAGTCCTGTAACAGTTAAAGTTTTGCATTTTCTGTGGATACGACACTATGAAAGAGTACATGAGCAGTTTGAGCACAGTGAAATGTATATCTAGAAAAGGATGCTAAAAATGCAAGAAAAGACTTCCTAGAAATAAAAATGTATGCCTTTTGTGTAAATAGTAAAGTATTAATAATGGAAATGGGGGTTTTAAGAATATATATTTACACATTTGTCTACACGCATGGTGTATGTTTGTGAATCCAATGTCTTTATCTTAATCTCAACAGTGGCCTCCGGACATTCAGCCTCATTGATCCCAGAAACTTTTATGTACTCAGCTCCATTACTTCCCATCGTTTCCCTTTCTGATCAACACCTGAACACATAAGAGTCAACACCTTATAAAATTAAACATAAAAACAGAAAAATTATCCAACTTCATTCATATCAAATCAAAATGTATAAACAGTCTACACTGGACATTTTGAAATGTGGAATATTGAATATGGCAGCACAATGAACTGAATCAAGGATGTGTGGATGGAGAAAGACATTTAAAAGTTCATTCATGGACATTTAAAGGGCAGCGTTATTGTCGAGGCACTCAAAAATTCAGGCACAAACCCATGAACACATAATGACATAGGAGGAAGCCCGCTGATGAAAAACTCTAGACAACAAAAACTCAGTCTTTTGGAGATTTTGTCCAGGATATGTACACTAAAACAACAGCAAAAAAAACTATTTTAAAAAATAAAAGGCAGAAGTCACCAAAAACATAACCAATTGAAACTAAACTAACAAAACGCCTCAAGGCATGGACGCTCAATTCCTCGAATCCTAAGAGCACATAGATTCAAGACTCAAAGTTATGAACTTTTGGTAAATGATCTCAGAGGAGACATAAAATTTATTCAAGATTCCCAAGAACGGATACATAAACATCATATCTTCATAACTGAAAAGCTATTTTCCTTTTTCACCCAACCAGCAAACTACACGCACTCATTTCCAAACTCGAAATAGAAAAAAAAGAAGATTGACAGACTGATCAATCGCGAGACGAGCAGCAAAAAAGAAGGCCTGTAAAAGTGACGAGCGTCGAAGGCGCAAACCTGGCCAAGCGTCGCGATCGAGAGCGTTCCGGGAGATATGAATATTCACTGGGCAAGTCAGCAGCCAGGGACAGGGACAGGGACAGGGACGGAGGAGTGAAAATTTAGCTACGAAAATACGGAAGGCAATATATGGAGTACGTTTAGATTTTGGGTATATTAGATAATTTTTTAGAGCAGGGTTTTGGTCACTCGATTTCAGTGGTCACTGAAGCCATTGTCTAGGCCCCTACGTAGGGGTGGACACGGTACCGGTACGGTACCGTCACTGGCAACGGTACCGCCGGTACCTGCCACCGTCACCGGCAAGGTCGCCGTGTCACCGGTTCCGGGAACCGGTACCGGTACCGCCACTTTCGGTACCGGTTCCGGTACCTATTTTTTGGTACCGGTACCGGCGGTACCGGTCCGGTTCCGATACCGGTATAATTTTTTTTTTTTTGATTTGAAATGCAAAAAAGTTAAAAAAAAAAAAGGTGGGGGGCGAAACAATTGCATTCTTTCTTTAAACAATTGCAATTTTACAATTGCAATTTTTTATAATTTAAAAATTAAAAAAAATAGGGGGGGGGGGGCGAAACCGGCCGGTCCGGTACCGGAACCGGTACCGGCCGGCACGGTATACTATCCGGTTACTCGGGGTGGCGGTACCGGAACCGGCGGTTCCGGAACCGGAACCGTCCCAGAACCGTACCGTGTCCACCCCTACCCCTACGTAGCTTCATTCATAAAATTGATGATTTCTACCCCCTCTAACCCCCAGTAAACCCCCCTGCCAAGTCCCGATTCAAACTAATCACCTCACCTACATCAATTGCACTTCATAAGTATAAAGTCAAAAGTTTTGACTTTAAAGTCAATTATACTTACAAGGTGCAATTGACGTATGTGGAGTGATTAGTTTGGGTAGGGACTTGGCGGGGGGTTTACCGGGGGGTTAGAGGGGTAGGAATCATCAATTTTATGAACGGAACTACGTAGGGGGCAGTGGCTCCCGTGGCCACTGGAATCCAGTAGCCATAGAACCAGGCTCAATTTTTTTAAGATTCCATTCATTTCATATTCTTTAAAATACTAGGGGAAGGTTCAAGTGACATTGAACCTTGATGTCATGGGATGACCCGGGGGCGCTCCAGTGCCCCGTTCGTAAAATTGACGGTTTCTACCCCCTAATCCCCCCGATAA